GTTCCTGTAATGTAATTGAAAACCTCTACTTCTCAGCCAACTCTATACCAGCCTCGAACTCGTGCATCAAACCAGTTTTCCTGACTCATTATGTTACGAGAATCTTAAAACTTTACTCTCTTCACCAGCACCTCTCAGTTTTCTATAAACGCAAAGGGAGGCTCTGGGGGCGAGATGGAGTCAAGCGTTATCTCTTCAATATCTATCAACGGTCTTCAGGGAAGAAATGTTTGCTCCATCCGTTAAAAGTAAACACTCTCGTAAGGCAAATTGAAAAGCTTGTGATGAAGTTTTTTCTCCATTTATTCAAACTGTCAGTTTCATTTGACATAATAAATGCGAAATACATTAAAGACACCTTTACTTTGACGGATGAGTTGACAAAGTTTCGACAGATAAATCAATTTAACCTGATGACGTATCCGCTTGCTCTTAAACAAAGATGGTTATGGCCGGAAAAGCTTTTAATTTCCGAGTGTAAGTTCCCATCATTAATGCGGCATTTTATACTTCAAAATTTAAATTTCATATGAGATTGGGCAACAAAATAAGTGCCAATCATGATACGATCTGCAATTGAATGAAGCCAGGAAACTTATTTCTGACTAACGACATTTTGAAATAACAATAACAACAAAAAGAAATGCCAATTGAAAACAAAACAAATAAACAAATGGAAACGAGTTTTTAAAAGGCCAGCAACATTTAATACGCACGAGAGATAACGTTGCTTACTGGCCTATGGGTTTGATGAAATTATTATGATAAGGTTATTTTTAATACTTCGAAACTAGCGCATTTATTTTCGATGAGTTTAGAATCCAGCGCGGAACTATTTAGAGTCTGGAAACCTTGATATACATTACCGTGGTTGAAAATGTAAAGAAATCGATTTGAATATGGTACTCTGTAGAGAAAAGGTAAATTTGTTCTGGTGCACGTGGGGTTTCTTGTTACAAAAAAAGAATAACAACCCCTTACCAAGCTCAACAATACAGGGGAGCAAAAATCGCCTGTAATGTTTGATAGAGTGCGTGGAAAGCCCACAAAGAAAATTAAAGCCATGTCTTTTCTATTTGTTTTAGCGGTCTAATTTTTTTCCGGCTGGAAAAGCTGAAAATATAAAGATGACGGCGAGCAGTATGACTCTCTAAGGCCTTGTCTTTCTGTCAGTCTGTAGACAATTGGTTTGATGTAAAGATCAGAAATGGAAATACAAAAACTGACTTTTGATATCGACAAATTGTGAAAACCTTTTCGAAGCCATATGCCATTTTTCAAGGAGTGAGCGGAAAAATCAAATAGTTATTTAAAATTCAATTACGTGTACACCGCAAAGCACCGAGTGTTGACGAAAAAAAACCGGTTGCGACGGTATAGAGTGACTTGTTCGAAGAGCAACGTTGAATTGTTAAGGATTTGGTCGTTAAAGCTGAATTCATTTGGGGTGCAATTCGAACCGAGCCACGGGGATATCAGTAGATTAATCAGTTCGGGAGAAATTCATTTGGAGTTCTGTTTTGAAAATAAGAGGAACTAAAAGTGTATCCGACATAACAAGATTCAAGTCAAAAGACAACAACTGTATTTGAATTCCACGTTTTAAGGAAACAAAAAAATGTGTACAGGTTAGAAGGGTCATCATATTTGGCGCAGGCATCGTGGATTTGAAGTCGACTGATTTAAAATGTCAGATGCAAACGTTTCGCCCATCGTTGGACAAGAAATATGGGCTGCAGTATCTGTTGTGTTTTGTGTTGCGGTTATTTTGATTTTTCTACTCATTTTATGCTGTGCTTACCGAAGACATCGAAGGGTTAGGGACCTGACTATGTTCATGCCAACAGAAAACACTCCAGCACCATGGCTTGTTTGTAATGGTAAAGACAAACGCGAAGATAGTGATAGATTCACTTCCCAAGTGTAGGGAGCGCGTTTACATGATAAATATACATCGAATACATAAAGAAAGATTTGACGATTTTCGTTGTTTCACAAATACTACGTAAAAGCAACAAAGATGGCTGATTCATCTGATGAAGAAGCTCTTAATTCCGAGCCGTTGGCAAATTTATTTACCTTCACGAACCTCGGGCCGGGTAAAGGGAACACAAGTTCACAGAGTGAAACGATGGCGCGCAAGTTCGACAAGCGTTTTGAATGAAAATCGTTGCAGACTTCAGTGAGGAAGCAGGGTTGGATAATAAGATAAAATTTCCCAATTCTACTAGGTCCTAACTAGGTCAATGATAAAAAAAAAGCTTTATGGCGAAACATTCTGTTAGTCTTCAAACTATATACGTTTCTTTAAAAATGAAATGGACACACTTGTCCTTTATAACTAACCCACAAGCTTTCTCCCTAAAAATTTCGTGACATTTTTCATTTTTCAACTTGTGCGTAAATTAGCCGCCATTCATATGCTGATTTTTATAACCGTTTGATCTTTGGGAGGTTATACAACAATTCACAAGACAGTTTAAACCTAGTTAAAACAAACTTCGGTTACAGAGGGTTTACATAATGCAATATTTCATTTTTCCTTTTTTTTGAGAATTAAATGATACACCGAAAAACTGAAAATTTAAGTTTTTAACGTCAATCATTCACTAAAAACTACAGGAAAAAAATGTACTAAGCGTGCGCTCGACACTTTTGAATTTTCCCCTAGGGCAAATAATTCATCTATGTTAAATTAAGTACATTTTGATTTGCTTTGGTCCACGTCCACTTCTTTGAATTTAAAAAGAAGTTTCTGTTAAATAAAAAAAAAAAAAAAGACGGCAGTGGAATTTAAGTCAGTGTTGATGAAAACTGAATTTTTTTATTGAAAACTGTTGCAATTGCCAGTTTTCTTGATATAAATGTGTTAATAAAATGCTACAGCTAAAGTAAATAATCGAATGCCTTTGACAGATACATAGAATTATTATCATTTTTAATACTAAATGTAAGGCACAAATTGTAAATGCCAGTTTGTTCGCATCAGGCAATCAGTCAAGTTTTATCAACAAATTTGTCTTTCATAATGCGCTTTGATCTTTCATCTTGATAAATTAATTCATTTTGAATTCAATTCTTTATTGCGAATGTGTTCTGCGTTTTAAGTGCGTCAGCGTTGGAGAACCAAAGTATATTATTGCGCGAATTGACGTTTCCTGAGTGAAGAGTGAAAACATACCGGCGGGTTTAACAATTTTCTTCATCTGTTTTTCTGGCGAGTTCAAGCCTTAAATAATTTGAAATCTGAAATGTAACCATGAAATAGTTCTGACACCTTTTCGACTCGGGCTTTGTGGCTTAGCTTTTTGACATGATTGTAACAATTAAATGTTCGCTTTAGCGCTCAACAACATCTGCATGCATTCGCATGAAGTAGATTCACATAGAATTTGAAAACAAGCTAACTTTGCGAGACAATGCACAATGGTTCTCTTCCCAGAAAACCGCGAAAGAGAAAAACGAATTTAATTCAAAACTCAGTGATCCAGATACTTGAAAACATGGTAAATGCAATTCCTATTGATGAGTTGAAATCCCGAATGCTCTTTTTCAACCAGCCGCGAGTTATTGTGTCGTCTTGAAACTATATTGCGAAACGTTAGGATGCTGAAATTTTTACATTTTATTGACATTTCGCCCGAGAAAACGAGATGAAAATATATGAATTATACGCCATTTAATAAATACCGTCAAACTAAACTCTATGTCTCATGGAAAGAGTTCCCTTTTAGATAACATAAGCGAAAGGGAAGCTATATTGGTGCTCTTTGGCTTCTCGGAGGTTAATAATACTTGACTACAACGACCTTCGAACAGTCTAATCACGTGCGCACGAATAGACCGTATTTTTTATCGGTTTACTGGCGTAATAGACCACGTAGGATGTTGAGAGAGCAGGAGAAACGGTTTCCGAATTACTCGGCTCCTGCTCATGAGTTACAAAAGCGCCGGATAGAAAATGCAGTCTTTGCTTTTATAAAATGAATTTTAACGAAATACATTATGTTTCAATTTTTTATGGGTTTACCATTTCTACTTATCAGGGCTCTTTAACGACACTTAAAATTCAGGGTAATAAGATGACATTAGGTTTTTCGTCATCCCTTCGAATTCTTTACCAAAGAAAGCTATTTTATCTCGCTAGACCAAAATAAGAAACTTAAAACTACAAGCTGTTTGAAAACCCCTCTTTATTTAGCGAATATACTACAAAATTTAATTAAAACTTTGTGCCTGTCGAAAAAGACCACCGACGTTTTTGATCATTTTTTCCATGTTAAAGTATTCTATCATTAACCTCTCTCTTCTTAAAGGATTTTTTTCAATCTTGTGGCGCTAAGCAAAATATCCCTCAAAAATGAATAGTCAAGAATAAATTGAATAAATTGAAAAGTTAATTCAACTCCAATTTGAAGAGTTATCCCTTAAACATAAAAA